CTCCTTCTGTGCCATGGGGAGGATACACTTTCGAAAACTTCAGTGTGCCTCCAAAACACATATTTCCCTTCAAATGAGTGAAAGAGGAGCTCGGCTATCACTGATCGATTTGGTCCGAGTGTGCGCCGTGCATTACGCTCCTACGCAGAGGTGGTGGAAAGGTGTAAATTCTGATTTCAGGTGCTTTTATCCATGCAAGCAGATGTTTGTTTAGGGTTTGGAAAGGACAATACGCACGAATCTGTTTGAGACGTATTATTTAGTCATCTACGTACTTACGAGTTCATGCTATTAACTGATATTTATTTATTTATTTATTTATTTATTTATTCTTGATATTCTTGCTATATTGCTAAATTTTTTATTATTTTGTAGTCCTATTTACATCCGGGTCTTCTGCAGCTTTCCGTCCGTTCCATCAAACTTAGCAATGACACTTTTGTACTGTTTGATGCCTAGCGAGCCTACTTTTGCGATACTCCCCATGTCCCCCGCGGCCAAGTACGAACCCATTTTGGGGATTTTGCATGAAAAGAGGGCTGTTAAACGTAGCAGTTCAATCTGTAAAGAATACACTCATAATAATTTTCATTTTTTTTAACATCTTAACTTCCATAGCTCCACTCCCACTATCAACTGAAATGTCGAAGCATTGCCCGGCTCTGAGTGACCCTTGAGATTACGACCCCCCCCCTCCCCAGCGGCCAAGTACGACCCCCCTATGGGTTTCGCACAACGATGCTGTACCCTGTGTGTGGGTTTGTGTGCGTCCGTGCATGTGTGTATGTTCGACCAGTTTGGTTTGATGTAGCCATAGAGTGCTTAAATGGATAGGTGATACAGTGGGACGACTTCATCGTTATTGGTTGGCAATAGAAAGTATAAAGAAAGAAAGGTAACTGCCGATAAGAGCTGACAAGGACCGTTAGAAGGGGAGTGTTACGGAAACATCCCAGCAAGGGGCGACTGTCAAGGATATCATATGGGGTATGAGGCAAAAACACTATTGGCGCTTGGTTCCAAGGATTGATATAGCGGATGCGACGGGGATACTACTGGTTGGTGACAGAAAGCGATTGTAATTGATATGGACTAAGGACCTTCACTTCTTAACAATTTTGATCCAGGTATTAGGTATTACAGTGCCAAACTACTGATTACATAAAATCTGCTACATTTCTGTGTTGTTGTGCATGTGTTTGACCCGAAATTCATAACCCTTTGACATAGAGTGATAAATGCTGTAGGAGGTGCAACAAAAACGCTCCCGAATGGGTGCGGAAAGCGATAAGAACTGATAAGAGCCGATAAGGGGTTTTGGAAGGAGAGTGCACCGAGTTTGCACTACCTGCCACAGCAGTTAGCAGTTTTTGCACTCCCCTTCAAATTAGGCGGCAGTATATTTCGGGAGATAGCGGAGGAGATTTCGGAGAAAATCTCCTGAAAAGGGAGAGGGAGGGGAGGGTATGGAGTCTTCAACGGAAGAGATGGGGGTTGTCGTACAGACTCAATCAAAATCCCCAACCCCGTGGTGTGTTCTGGTAGGAAAGTGGAAAAATTCAGGACCATGGTGGGTAGGATAGGATGAAAAGGGGATCGGAAGGAATCAGAGAGGGGGTTCAACTCTCCTCAGAAGAGCATTAACGGTAGGATGTGCCGATGTTCAGTACCAGCCACCTCACAACGCTGGAATTCTCGATTCCTATCTTCTTTCTCCTCTTGGTGAAGCCATGTTGTGGGAACAGATCAATTTCACGTCAGAATGTACTTTACTGCTTTGTGGAGATAGTGTGCTTCTGAATGAGAAAAGGCGTGACCCTTTAATCAGAGCAGTACAGAGTAGTTTCACATAGGCCATATCCAACTCATAATTCAGAGCTATTCTTCTTTGTAATTACTGTTTTTATCTACAAACGAGAAAAGGAGATTGATTCACAAAAATTTATTGTCTCATCTTAACTTCATGCAAGCGATATTTGCACAGTTCCATTTGGTCTTGTCTTTGCCGCTGAAGTGGCAGTCGATAAGATGCCAGTCATTTAAGTCTCCGCAGAACTTCTCGCACTCATGACGGCATTTATCCAACGCTGCTAAAAAGAATGCCGCTGTGAAATCTCTTCACTGAGACCTTGCAGCAGAATGAAATATACAGCAACCGATTGGACGTTTCCTTTCATTAAATATTTCTAGCTCCAGCTGCAAAAATAAAAACTTGCAACAAGCCAAAAAGCCGGAATTTTCTATCGAATTATTTCCTCCTTAACCTATGTACTAAAATTTCATGGATATAGGTAACTTATGCCTGAAAGAACTGTTTTCAAAACAGTGGAAACGACCCTAAGCAAACGGAAAACTACGTGGTAGTTTTGTAGATTGGAGGGGTTGAGCATGTCACTCGCTTTGAAATCGACTGCTGGACCAGAACGAATAACGATGGACTCAACGAGGTGTCTAACGAGCACCTTCCCACCGCCTGCTGGCTAATCACACTTCTTCTCGAATTTTTTGTACGAATGGTATGATGTTCAATGTGTCCCTCAAGCTCAGAAAACCCATAGAGCCAATCGTTGCAGGGATCCTTTCAGACGATTCCTATCTTCGAGCTATCCAATGATGTAGAGACACGAGTGATACGGTGATACAAGTAGCGATCACAATGAGTGCATCTATGCAAGCATATGGATTCGCCGTTCTGTAGCCTAGCTTGCGCAGACCCCTCTCATAATTTCTGCTCAAAGAAATGCAAGATATCCTGCCTGATCTGAAGGTGAGGCCTCCGTCGGGGTAAATTCTACCCCTGTACCGCTTTGGAAGGAAAATCAACACAAAGAACCATAGTCTCTCAGATACCAGAAGTAAGGGAACTTGTAACTGAGACCCACTCCTTGGTCCCTTGCGTATCGCGTTCGAAACGTCAACGTGGAGAATGGTCATGATCAGCTGTAAAAACATTAGTTAAGGGTTTGTTATAAAGCTAGTATGAGCTCTTAGAATGTGAGCAATCCTGATAAAAACTCCTTACCAGAATAAGGATGAACTTCATGAGCATGTTCAACTCTGAAAAGATTAGATTGAAGCGGACTTCAAACGTACCCAGAAAATGAGCTCTCTAAAGCTTGGACGGCGCTGTGCCGTGTATAAGAGCATAAGCGTATTCCATAAGAGAGGGCGGAGTCTCAAGCAAGGAAGCAGCTTTACGTCCAGCGTCAACCTGATGCTGTTGTCGAAAGGCCAGTTTGGAGCCATCACAGGAATGCCGGTCATTGACTACGGGCAAAAGTTAAAAACTAGGCCAAACTGAGCTTTGAACTCGCACCTCATGCTCTTAGGC